TTTTAATTAATCAATCAATTTACAAGATTTTGATTGAATATCAAGCAACGCTACATGGTGTCAGGTGTACAACTGGAAAATTTGGAAAAAGTGCAGTAGAAAACTGGATGACGATGGATTACCTCAGAGTACCACCACAGATGGATTTCGTCAATGGAAATGTGGCCAAGAGTTGGTCATGTTGGATTCAAAAATTCGACCTATACCTGCTTGCAATCGAAAAAGCTGAAGCCCCAGAAGCTGTGAAAGTGGCTATTTTCCTGAATTTGGTTGGGGACGACGGCGTAGAAATATTCAACACAATGAATATAAAACTGGAGAAGGCGAAGTTGGATGACTTAAAGAAGCAATTTGAAAAATACTGTGAGCCAAAGAAAAACATAGTTTATGAAAGGTATAAATTTTTGCAGTGTGCTCAAAAACCGGACCAGTCCATGAACTCTTACATCACAGAATTGAAAACCCTTGCAGCATCATGCGAATACCAAGAAATGGACAACATGGTGAGAGACCGCATCATCATGGGCATTAAGGATTCAGGATTGCGAGAAAAACTCCTCCAGAACGACGGCTTGACCCTAAAGAAGCTAGAAGAACAGTGCAAACTCCATGAACAAAGCAAGAAGCAAATGGCAGACATGGGGAACAATCAGCCCTCCACCAGTGCAGTAGACGTCGTTGGATTTCACGGAAACAAAAAGATGAGTAATTCTTTTAATAATAATAAATTTAAACCAAACAACCAATTTCAGAAAAATAGAAAAAATTATAATAATTATAATCATTATAATAACTACCCTAAAAATAGTAAAAGTAACTTTAAAAAATGTCGAAAATGTCACACAGAACATGCATATAAACAATGTCCAGCTTTCGGAAACTTTTGTAGGATTTGTAAAATACCTAATCATTTCGAATCTTGTTGTTCCCAAAATAAAATCAACAAAAAAGATAAAAAACATAGGTATATAAATAATTTAGAATGTGTAAATAGTTCCTCATCAGATGATGAATTTTTTATTGATTGTTTATGGGTGCAATCTATAAAATCTGAAAATAAAATATACAGAGAGCAAAATAATAAAGAACTTTTAGAAAATATTTCCATAAATAATGCTAATTTAATTTTCAAGGTGGATACTGGAGCACAATGCGTATGAGGCTATTGAAAGATATAAATCTGTTTTTGAGGGACTTGGAACATTTCCAGGGGAACCTTATAAATTTACTCTGAAAGATGATGCTAAACCCTGTGTTTTTCCTGCCAGAAGGACCCCAAAAGCAATATTGCCAGAATTTGAGAAAAGTTTAAAAAATTTAGAAAAGGAAGGGGTTATTTGCAAACAAACTGAACCGACAGATTGGGTAAATAATATAGTGGTAACAGAAAAACCCAATAAGAAACTAAGAATTTGCTTAGACCCTTCAAAATTAAACCCTTATATTAAAAGAGCACATTATCCCATACCTTCTGCAGAGGAAATCCTATGTGATTTAACAAATAAAAACTTTTTCTCTGTGCTAGATTTAAAGGATTCTTTCTACCAAATCAAGTTAGATGAAAATTCTTCAAAACTCACAACATTTGCAACTCCTTTAGGCAGATATAGATTCTTGAGATTACCTTTTGGCATTAACACAGCGGCGGAAGTCTTTCAGATGAGAAACACTAGAATTTTTGGAGGTATAGTAGGAAACAAAGTTTATATTGATTTAATAATATCTGGGAATACTGAGGCAGAACATGATAGAATCTTGAATCAAGTTTTGGAAACTGCTCAGAAAAACAATATCACTTTTAATAAAGATAAATTTCAATTTAAAAAAAAGGAAGTTAGAATTCTAGGATTTAAAGTATCTGAAAAGGGCATAGAAGTGGATAAAGATAGGGTAGAGGCAATTTTAAAATTAGAAAACCCGAAAAATAAGAAAGAACTACTTAGATTTCTGGGCTCGGTTAAGTATTTGGGGAAATTTATTCCAAATCTCTCCCAGATCACAGCACCTTTAAGAAATTTAACTTGTACTAATGTATTATGGAATTGGGAAAAAGTTCATTCCGAAAGAATACAAGAAATAAAAAAATTATTAACTTCTCCTCCTTGCTTAAAGCATTATGATGTAAGTCAACCTTTAGTTATACAATGTGACGCAAGTTCAGAAGGCATGGGTGCCTGTTTGTTACAGAATGGACATCCAATAGCTTTTGCCAGTCGGGCTCTAACTGACACAGAAAAAAGGTGGGCTTGCATAGAGAGAGAAATGGGGGCTATTTTATTTGCAGCAGAACGCTTTAATTTTTATATTTATGGTAAAGAAAATGTACAAGTTCACACTGATCACAAACCTCTTGTTAGCATTTTTAAAAAAGATATAAATAAGGTCTCTAGTAGATTACAAAGAATGTTGCTTAGATTGATAAAATATCAATTTACAGTTTCGTATTTGCCTGGTAAACAAATGTTTATTGCAGACATGCTTTCAAGAGCTTCTTTAAAACACCCTGTACAAGATGATCCTAAAAATAACATTATAGTTCATGATATAAACAAGAAAATTCCTATGTGTGAGCAAAAAAGAGTACAATTATTAATGGAAACTAAAAAAGATCAAGATTTGTCATTGTTAAAAAAATTTATTCACAACAGTTGGCCAAAACGTTTAAAAAATTTATCGGCTGATCTTAAAAAATTTCATCAAGTAAAGAATGAATTATCAGTTGAAAATGATTTAGTTTTTTTCGGTGACAGGGTAATAATTCCTAAAAGTTTGAGACAACTTATGTTACAAAAACTTCATGAAGGTCATATTGGAATTAATAAATGTAGGGCTAGAGCTAGAGAATCGATATTTTGGCCAAACATAAGTGATGAAATTAGTAATTTTGTTCTAAATTGTACAATATGCCTTAGATTTCGGAATAATAATCCAAAGTTACCATTATTACAACATAAATTGCCACAAAGACCATGGGAAAAAATTGCCATGGACATTTTGGAGTTTAAGAGTTATTTGTTTCTATCAGTGATTGACTATTTTTCAAATTGGATAGAGCTAAAAAGAATAAAAAATAAAACAGCTGAAGAAATTGTAAAAATACTTAAACCTGTTTTTGCTATACATGGGTTTCCTTGCATAATTATTTCTGATAATAATCCATTTAATTCAGTGGTCTTTAAACAGTTTCTAAATGAAAACAACATCTCTTTAACTACTTCTAGCCCAAACTACCCAAAAAGTAATGGTTTAGCAGAGAAATCTGTTAATATTTGCAAAAATATGTTAAAAAAATGCTTTTATGAAAATAACGGTAATTTAAACAATTTGGACTTTTTTCTTCTAAATTATAGAAATACTCCAATTCCCGACTTAGGTTTATCACCAGCTCAAATGATGTTTAATAGGCGTTTAAAAGATAACTTACCCACTGTAAACTCTATGCTTAATCCTGAGCTATTAAATAAAAGAAAACTTCAAGAAAATAAAATAAAGAGACGAAAAAAGCAAAAATTTTATCATGACAAAAACACAACAAAGTTGGCAGGTAGGAAAGTAGATGAAAGGGTTATGTTTAAGAATGGGGATCATTGGGAAGATGGTATTATTGTAAAAAAATGTAAAGAACCTAGGTCATATTTAGTGAAAGACGATTTTGGAAATATATTTAGACGTACGCAGCAGCATCTTATTGTAAAGACCACACCATTAATTAGTGAACCTAATGTTCGAATAAAAGAGGAACCTGTAGATGTAAATGGGAAGCAACCTATTAATAAAACTTGTTTTATTAGGGAACCCTATTTTCTAAGAAGTACTGTTAAAAATAAGTGATTATTTCAAAAAATTGTTATAATATGTAAATAAGTTTTTTAGGCTCTCTGTATATATATTTAGGTAGGTATTTGTAAATAATGTATATTAAGGGTACCCATAAAATTAAAATGTTTACTATTGATCATAATTATAATGTATTTGATTTGTATCTATAATAATTCATCAGGTACAGGTTTCTTAAATTTAATTTTGATTTCATTGCATAAAAATAACTTATGAGGGGGGATGTAAAGTATAGCTATTGTCAAGGATTTATTATTATAAATAAATTAATATTTGTTACTACTTATAGGCAACTAGCAATACTTTTGTTAGGAAATTTTATAGTTATTAATCTAGGGACATTTGGTTATTTATTATTGGCATTCTTGGTGTTTGAACATAAATAGAAATGTAACGCCAGTTTAAGCCTCTCTTTAATACCAACACTTGTAAGATAAACATATACCTAAATATAAAGCCACCCTCATAAAAAGTGTGTTTTAATTAATCAATCAATTTACAAGATTTTGATTGAATATCAAGCAACGCTACATTATCACGCAAGATTCTGCCCATTTTTTTGATTAACCGCCCCGACTACAACGATGTTTGCGACTTTTGCGAGCGTTCGGCAACATCGACTTTGTGACGTATGGGACAAATGCAACACAAAAATTTCGAATTTGGTACCCCATACTACGTGTCCGTGCGATAATAAAAACATTTTCAATGTTAAAAATATATTTTATCAGAGTGTACCATTACAATAGCCGAGGCGGCGGAGCGGATAATGCATCTCTTTTCCTCCGAATGCGTTCTCTTTTTGATGATCTATACATGAGTGAGTGACAAAATTGGCGTTTTTTAAGGCCATGTAACTTTTTTGTTGGTTGATAGAAATCGATGAAATTTGGTTTTAGTATTAGGTCTATAAAGATCTACGGCTGTGCAAAATTTCAGTTTTTTAGGACACTTCAGAGCTGAGTTACAGGTAGGTCGAAAATGACCTGAAATGTTTCGAGAAAAGGTATACAGTAGTGCGTGAACTTGGCGGGGGGCACTACCGTGCCATCAGATTCACCACCAACTATCCTTTAATCTATACTTGCAGTGTGAAAAAAACTTCAGAAGTTAATCCCTTGAAGGTGTCATGAATATGGATAATTATTGTAAAATTTTTATAGGAAATTCGTCGACCAGAAATACTCTACAAAGATGTGGTAGAAGTTGATTGCCGCGTTATACCGGTACTCGAAGCAAAATGCGAATTAGATGAATCTACACGCAAAAATTGGAGAATCGTGACTGGAAAAACTGGAGAAAAATTCTACGTCACTCGGGAATTAGACTCGGAGGCAGTCAAAAAAAGTCTACTTGAAATAAAAGAGAAAGGAATTGATAGTATTTCTGTAACTTTAGCACATAGCTATACATATTTCGAGCACGAAATTCAAATTGGAGAGATCGCTAAAGACATTGGTTATTATTAAATCTACTAATTAATATTCTCTTAATTATTTGATATAATTTCAGGTTTCAATCATGTTTCCTTATCCCACAACGTCATAGCAATGACCAGAATCGTACCACGTGGGTTTACATCATGTGCAGACGCTTACCTCACTCCTCACGTTAAGAGGTACGTTGAAGGCTTTTGCAGAGGCTTCAAGGACAACTTAAAGGGTACAAGGGTGTTGTTTATGCAAAGCGATGGCGGTTTAACTCCAATGGAAAATTTCAACGGCGCTAGGGCGATTTTGTCTGGACCTGCTGGAGGTACCAAAACGGATTATGAAATTATTTAAAAAATTAATATTGGGTTTTATTAAGGGGTTGTTGGTTATGCCGTGACAACCTGGCGAAGAGAAACCGAATTGCCAGTAATTGGATTTGATATGGGCGGCACTTCAACGGACGTGTCTAGGTTTGCTGGCAACTATGAACACGTTTATGAAAGTACTACTGCTGGAGTTACAATACAAGCGCCTCAGTTGGACGTTAATACTGTAGCTGCTGGAGGTGGATCTATGTTATTCTTTAGGTAAGTAAATGATGAAAATTCATTTTATAGGTAGGTACTGTAGCAGTCTGCCAAGTACTCAATTATTGATATATTTTCCGCGACTTCTTCACCTCTCAAATTTTTCACGGACAAGAGTCGATTTTAAGAGTGAAATTAAGCGGGCCTGAGGCAAAAAATCAACTGTTAATTTTCGCTGACTGTCGACTGTAGACTATCCTATCCGCGTGATTTCGACACGTTGACCTAAATTCCTTTTTTGATTTCTTGAACTCTTGCAAAAGATTAATAAAGTTAACTCTCAAAATTGTTCCGCCGTGATATTGTTACTTTTTGATTCTGGTCACAACGCCGAGGAAGACATGCAGGAATGGATGGCAGTATCTGCGTTCATTGATGATCTCAAAGATTCGAAGATCTAAAAAAAAACCTGAGAATGTCTAAGTTCAGACAAAGTAGCGAAGCCCTTGTCCGAGCACTGGAACTGGAAGCAATCTTTGGTGCCTCACGACCCAGAATACGAGCAGTATCCATTGAAGACCCAAAGGATGAACAATCGTCAAAAGAAAATGGTAGCTTCAAGAATGTTATGAGTAAGTTCATGGAGAAAATGGAGCAGCTACTACTAGAAGATAGACAAACGGGAAACTACTCCAAATAAACACCAACACCGATAAGCCGAGTTGAATGTTACCGGTGTCATAACTCATAAGCTTGGACATAATATGCAATGATATTGTAGAGTAAGGGTTTCCTCTCTATCTAGGGTTCGTTCCCAATGCTTTTCAAGATCTAGGAGATGCCAGCCCTAGTAACAGACAGGAACCAACTAGTACCTACGGAGAGGCTGATGCTGGATAGTAATGACGAAGCCCCGGGTTGTTTATATAAAATCATTGGGCATTCATTATAAAGGATTAAAATTCGAAGGACAAATTAATGAAGAATTTAAAACCATCACTTTTGATACAGGTGCTGAAGTTTCTATAATTAGAAAAACATTCGTCAAGTCTCGGGCAATCCAACCGCTCACTAGAAACCGGCCACTACGAACAGTCACGGGCGAATGAGCACCAGTTCAAGGAAAAGCTATGGCTGAGCTTACTTTTGGATCTACCAACTTTAGGCACAGAACATTAGTCGCCGATATGGAAGATGATTTTATTTTGGAAATGGATTTGATCGGCCAACATGGTAACTTTTTCGATCCTTCTATGAACATCCTCAAATTTGGTAATGAAGAATTTTTCCTAACTACACAAGAAGAATCTCAAGCCGTTGAGATCCTGGCCACAAACCCAGTGAGAATTCCTAGAAGTACTGAGAAGATCATTTGCGGAAAATTGGAAACAAACCCTGGGTACTGCGTTGGACTTACACATAATTTTATTGGAGATAAACCAGAAAGATTTCTCGTTGGAAAGACTCTAGTAAGAGCAAATGGAAACATTATGATAAGAATTGCCAATATTTCTTCTGAAACATTAGAAATAAAAGAAAGAGATATTATTGGAACTCTCGAACCAGTTAAGCAAATATCGAACTTTGACCTACAAGATAAGCGACATGTTGAAAAATCGAAATTGGATACAGACACCTTGATGCAGACTTTGGAGACATCATGCCTCATGGAAACACCTCGATCCAGATAGACTTCAGGAAGCCATCTTGAAAGAAGCAGACGTATTTGTGATGGATAATCGAACCGGACGGACCAGTTTAATTCAACACAAAATTGATACTTGACACACCCAATTAAACAACCACCTCGACCTATACCAGTAGCTAAACAACAGGAAGTGGAAAACCAAATTCATAAAATGCTGCGCTAGTAGTGTTGGTTACGAAGAATTATGGAAGTCTTAGATTTTGTGTGGACTACCGTAAGCTTAATGACGTTACCAAGAACGACAGCTTCCCTTTCCCTAGGATAGACGATACATTAACAAGTCTATCGTTCTTCAAATGGTTTTCCACATAGAGAAATATATTAAACCAAGGTGAGAGTTACCGATTCTGTGGTGCGACACTGGCATCGCGATGACGTCATATCGATACTAGCGCCACTATCCACTACAAGACAAACTTAAATAATATTTAGCGGGCTTTTTGAACTTCTAAATTATAGTTTTATTTTCGAAGGTAGAAATCTAGCCCAGCGTTTTTCCGCAGTCGACAGACCAAAAATGCGGGAAGACGCTGGCCTGGAAACAGAAATAAATAATTAAAAAATGTCCATGAAGTAATCTATATATTTTGATCTTTGACAATTAACAAAGAATTACAGAAAAATTACAACAAAAAAAGCAGAAACAGCCAAAACATCTAACTTTTCACTTATGATAGGTTATTATGTAATAATTATCATTATTCTTGCATGAACTTGACGATTTTCACATTGTAAATCTTACCAGAATCAAAGCATTTTCAATAAACTAACTAATATATTCACTTATTTCTGTCAGTTTTGGAAAAAGAAAATGTCATTTTATAGGTTAGAAATCGCAATGTAATAAATTTAAAAAAAATGTCACATCTGTTAAAAAGAGACAGATATAAGAATGGGAGACGATGTCAGAATTGTCAGATAGTTCCAAGCTATACTAGCGCCACCATGTGCTACAAGAAATACGTTGCCACTTGGCGCATATGAATCGGTAACTACCTTGGATTATTATATTTCTCTATGGTTTTCCATCTTGGATTTCAAAAAAGGATACTGGCAAGTGGCAATAATACACTAAAATGACAAAGAGAAAACTGCCTTCAGTACCAGAAGCGGGTTATACCAGTTTGACGTAACGCCTTTCGGATTGTGTAACGCTCCAGTTACGTTTGAGCGACTGATGCATCTTGTTTTGCGAGGCCTTACTTGGAGAACTTGCTTGGTACATTTAGATGATGCCATGATCATAGGAAATTCGTTTCAAGATCATCTCAAGAACCTGAAAGAAGTTTTTGACCGCTTCCGGAATGCCAACTTAAAATTTAATCCAAATAAGTGTATTCTATTTCAAAAGAAAGTGGAATTCTTAGGTCACGTGGTGTTTGAAGATAGCATACAAGTTATGGAAGGAAAGATAGATGCTGTCAGGGATTGGCATATTGGCAAAAGCCATGCGATACACATGAACTAAGGAGTTTTCTGGGATTATGTTCTTATTATCGAAGATTTGTGGAAGGATTCGCCAATATAGCTGCTCCGCTTCATCGATTAACGGAAGAGAAATCAACATTCAATTGGACCCAAGAATGCGATTCCGCTTTCAGAAAGTCAAAAGGAGCAATATGTAGGAGCCCCGTGTTGTCCTATCCCGATCAGAGAGGCATGTTGATTTTGGACACATATGCAAGCAACACCAATATTGGAGCTGTCTTTCCACAAATCCAAAATTCACATGAGCATGTCGTAGAGTTCTACAGCAGAACCTTATCAAAGCCAGAACGAAATTATTATGTCACCAGAAGAGAGTTGCTTGTCATAGCAGTTTAAAAATTCGATTTTTAAATAATTTTTTTTTTAAAATAGGCGTTTTTTTTCGGAAAAAAAGTATACAGATAGTATTAGAATAACTAAAAGAATAATTTAAAAATGTTTTTGAAAAATGTGAAAGTGGCCCATTGGTACCAGTAGGTAAAGGCCCCAAACTAAGATCTCGGGGGTCCATGAAACAGTACAACGCCCGTCTACCATTTGAACGACTAGCGATAGATGTTGCCGGACCATTCCCCGAGTCAGAGCGTGGTAACAAAGACATCTTGGTTATCATTTACTCCAGTAAATGGCCAAAAGTTTTCGCTATTTCCCAAGAATCAAGAAGCCATCACTATTGTCCAGGTGCCAGTGGACGAAGTTTTCAGTCGTCATGGTGTGCCACTAGAGTTGCATTCAGATCAGGGACGAAACCTCGAAACTGCCATCTTTAAGAAAATTTGTGAAATCATGGGCATTCGTAAAACAAGGACATCACCTTTACATCCACAGTCTGATGGCATGGTAGAAGGATTTTATAAGACATAGAGGAACACCTGACAAAAGTGGTCGCAAAGAACCAGCGAGATTGTAAAAAAACACTTACTTCTATTTTTAATGGCTTACAGAGCAGCTGTTCACGAGTCAACAGGTGAAAGTCCAGCTAGAATCGTTTTTGGAAGGGAACTCAGGTTTCTTTGCGATCTGATGTTTTGAATACCTGAGGAACAACAAAAAGAAATTCGAGATTATGCCCACGAAGTATGGACACGACTTCGGGGGATACATGATTTTGCTCGGGAGCATATTCAGCTGGCCAGTGACCGAATGAAGACCAGATACGACTAGAAAGCCAATTCAGCCGGATTTCAAGATGAAAGTTGTACATTTGGACAGATTGACGAAATATCATGGGCGCGAAGTTGATCGGGACGATCACTCTTAAGAGGAGGGCAGTATCATAGAAAGTGGCGCTTCCGCCACGGTTTACAGAATTGGACAACTGATTATAGATTTAACATTGCTCTTCGGGAAAAAGGTCTATCGTGTTTATTCTGGATTTTGCAAGAATAAATTAGGGTTATATAGAGGCCGGTATTAGTTAGTAGTTTCTAAGTTTAAAATTGGCTGTGATATAATTTAAATAGTGATTATTGTTAGGAGTTGTAAAGAGTTTAGTTGTTTTTAATTAGTGAAGTAATTAGTGTCAGAGTGTGTAGTAACGTGGAATAAACTATTTTTGTGTTAATTGGATTTTGATTTTGGAATAAACGGACCCAAAAATAATGTCACGCACCCCAGAGCCATGAAAATATAGAAAAATGACAAGGGAAATGATTAGGCAAATAAAAAATGTTCCTTGAATCAGATTGCGGTAAAAAAAATCAACATCTTTCAGATTTTACTTATAAATTGTGGAAATCAACATTATTAAGCACATTATTCACTAACTTCTCTTCACGTTAGGTAACTGTCCCATCATTCCAATCCCCAAATTGGAAAGAACCGTCCTAATTCTCAATGCACCCCCAACCAAACTTTTCGTCCT